GCGTACAAATCACGCACCTTAAGAAGGAAAACAACACACCTTAAGAAGGAAAACCACGCACCTAAAGCTTTAAGCCGACGCACCTTTTGTTTCAACAACTGACTCACATTAAACTCAAAAACCACGTACCTTAAGAAGGAAAACCACGCACCTTAAATTTGACCTTGATGCAAAAAGATCAAATTGCCACCATGTTTTTTTTAATCATTGTTAATACTGGACGTTAATTTAGGCAAGATCAATGGCTCAGATTTAACCGCACAACCGCACGGGACACTTCTGACACGGGAACTGAATTATATATATATATATATATATATATATATATATATATATATATATATATATATATAGGGTCGCACTCAAGTGTGGCGACCCCTTCCTGTGTGGTCATGTGGCGATTTTCAGAATACACCAATAGTTAAGTAAGATATACACCATCAACATTAGGAAATACACCACAAAAAATGCACACAAATTGGGTACGCATCACCAACAACACACCATTAGGTGTGATTAAAAGCACCATACAGCTAGTGTTCGGAAATACACCATTGGGATTCGTGAGTTATATGGTGTATTTTTTGGGTCTGTTATGTATTTTTTTTTTTGTGTTTTTTTGCATTTTGTTGTGGTGTGTTTCCCTTACACTGTTGGTGCATGTTGTTAACACTGTTGGTGTATTCTGAAATTCCGCCACACGACCACACCTAACAACATGACCACATATGAGCATTATTCTATATATATATATATATATATATATATATATATATATATATATATATATATATATATATATATATATTGATGGTTTTGTTAGAACCGGATCCACCATAAATCGGGTATAGAGATACAGAACGGGAGTTGGAAAATAGTACTATTATTACCCGGGGTGCTAGGCCCAAAGTGTATGCTTACAAAGCTCGAGACTCTAGCACAAAACGGCGGCCCAAATAATAAATAAATAATACAAGTTATAACCTTAATATAATGAAATAGAAACAACAATATTACCGCTAAGTATCGAACCCTGGTATGCTAGCTGGAGGGAAAAAACTTAGACCACAAAGCTAGAAGGGGTTTGGTGAGCTAAGGGATGGTCTTTAACTGGAGGGAAGGAACCCTATTTATATTTTTGAATGACTCACGGATGGTTGATGGCATCGGGAAACCTTCATTCTTAGTCATACACATGTCTCTCCACTACTTTGCTTCTAGCGCACGCTCATGCATAACTGGAGTTTCTTGCACTTTGGTGCACAAGATATTGAGTCGCTTGGTAGTTTGGAACTTATGTTGTTACGCTTGAGGTTGTGGGTTCGTACCCCATGGTAGCACATTTTATACTATTTTGCAACATCCTTCCTTCTTTCCTTGGCAATAAAAATGGACACCCCGCTTGGCCCAAGACTTTCCCAATAAAATGGCCCCTAGGTCACATGGCCCCATCAGGTCACATGGCCCCATCACAAGTCCCCCACTTTCTTTGTTGTCTTTAACGAGCAAAGAAAGTATAGTCACTCCTGAATTGGCCTTCTATACGCCTTAACCCTTTCAACTTCCATTTTGAAAAGTTCACATCCCTTTAAATAGCTCGGTGTTTGGATCCCGCCACCTCCTCTACATGCGGTTCGTCAAGAAGATTTCGCTCTTGCACATTCCCTATACAAAAAAGGAAAGATATTTTTTGGAGGCACAATGCCGGCAAATTATAATGTGGACGTTCAGTTTGTATAACATATCCAGTTTTATTTCATATACATTGTAGTTTCATTTTAGCACAACTAAAGTTTTATTTTGTTTTAACTATAGTTTCATTCGACATTATACATACTATAGTCTTATTACAATGAGACATGTTATCGAATTTCATTTTATACTCATTATAGTCTTATTACAACACCATTAAATTATAATTCTAATTCAAATACGGTTTCATTGGACAATATACGTACACTCAAATATGTGAAACTGTTATTCAGTTTCATTTTATATACATTGTAGTTTCATTACAACACAACTACAATATCCTTCTGATATAACTACAGTTTCATTTGACAATATAAACTTAATATGTGAGACATGTTATTTAGTTTCTTTTTATACATACTGTAGTTTCATTTCAGCAAAACTAAAGTATCATTTCTATTCAACTGCAATTCTATTTGACAATATACATTCAATATGTGAGACATGTTATTCAGTTTCATTTTATACATACTACAGTTTCATTTCAACACAACTAAAGTATCATTTCAATTCAATTACAGCTTCATTTGATAATATAAACACAATAAGCGAAGCAGTTTTATTTTAGATACACTGTAGTTTCATTTTGTTATGAACACACACAAAATACAAGATATGTTAAAAAGTAACGGTTGACGTTTCTTTACTTAAAAAAACGACGTCGTTTTTGGACCATGGTCCACAGTATAACAACTGCATGATGCCTCGCTAGGCCGCCTTCCCTACCTACTTGCGGGCCGAGAAGAGATGGTGCTCGGCCGCCTTCTCTACTTGCGGGGCCAATGAGCCGCTTTCCCTACATGCGAGCTCCTTAGGCTACCTTCCTTACATGCATGCCCGTATGACTCTTTTTTTTTTCATTTTCTTTAGGTGCGATGCCTTACTAGCCCTACTTGTCGGCCCAGAGGAGATGGTGCGCGGCCTTCCCTACTTGTAGGCTCGTGTGGTTGTTTTTTTTTTCCTCTCTTTTTTTTCTCTCTTTTTTTTTCATTTTTTTTCTCTCTTTTTTCCTTGAGGCGCGATGCCTCGGTATGCCGTCTTCCCTACATGCAAACCTAGAAAAGATGATGCTTGGCCGCCTTCCCTACATGCGGGCCGTGAGCCGCCTTCCCTACTTATAGGCTCCTTGGACTGCCTTCCCTACATGCATGCATGTATGACTATTTTTTTTCTTCTTCTTTTTTTTCTCTTTTTTTTCCTCTTTTTTTTTCTTGAGGGGCGATGCCTCGTTGAGCCGCCTTCCCTACAAGCGTGCCTAGAAAAGATGTATAAATATTTTTTTGTACCTCCTCAAATTGCTTACCTAGCCTGTGAGGCCATTTGGGTGTTGTTGTTTACTTTAGCATCTCTTGTCTAGACTGCAGAGCTTCCAACTCGCGTTGGGACCGCTTATCCTGTTTGTGGATCCACTACCGTATCCAATTGTATTCTTTGGTAGCTTTCTTAGCCTTTAAGCCCCACCAAAAATATATTTTAATGTTTTTCCAATGCAGAAATATTTTTCTTACCTCCTCGAGCCACTTGCACTAGGGCCTCTTGCTCGGCGGTGCCATCCTCCCAACTTGTGGAGCGCTGAGTCAGGGTAAGAGGATGATTTGCTTGACTATTCGGGTTGACGATAGGCTACATGGTCAAACTATACTACGACCCTCTGTGCTGTTTGGCAGCCCACTCATAGATGAAGTTAGTTGTCTCCCCTGGCTGAAGATTGGATACTATGTCCGACTCACTCTTGAGGACCTTAGTTGGTTACGACACTAGTAGCGTCCCCTCCGATAGCTATAGTGTTAGTCGAACATCTCACGTTCCCCTGGTGGGGAATTGAACCTCGTGAATTTAGCCGATCCTCGCCTTGCCTACTTAGGCGTTTCTATATATCCCAGGACTGCTCATTTTGGCGTATCTCGGGTTTTGATTGCGTAAACGAAATAGTAGTATTATTACTCGGGGCGCTAGGCCCAAAGTGTATGCTTACAAAGCACGAGATACTGGCCCAAAACGGCAGCCCAAATAATAAATAAAATAATACAAGCTATAACCTTAATAATGAAATAGAAACAACAATGTTTACAGCTAGTAATCAAACCCTGGTATGCTAACAAGAGGGGGAAGACTCAGACCACTCAACCAAAAGGAGTTTGGTGAGCTAAGGGATGGTTTTTAGGGGGAAGGGAGACACCCTATTTATATTGTTGAAGGACTCACGGATAGTTGACAAATGAACGACATCGGGCAACCTTCATTCTTGGCCACACACGTGTCCCTCCACTACTTTGCTTCCCGCGCACTCCCATGTATAAGTGGAATTTCCTGTCCTTTTATACACAAGATCTTAAGTGGGTTGGTCAACTGGAACTTGTATTGCTATGTTTGAGGTTGTGGGTTTGAACCCTAGGGCCTCAAATTTTAAGTCCTAACTTTGTCATTACTTAAACTTAAAAGGAAGAATCATGGATGGTTAAATTTGAAAGTTGAAGTACCATGAGTTGACTAAATGTGGAACGTGAGGTTGCCATTATACTTGGAGTGGGGAACCGAACTGGTATTAAATGTATTTGATGAAATATGTTTCCAGACAAATTCCAAACCTTAAAATTAAAGCATAGGACCCCAACTGGTATTAAATGTATTTGTTGAAACGAACATGTTTCCAGACAAATTCCAAACCTTAAAATTAAAGCTTACGCATGCATGTGCATAGAATTCAGTTAACTAACATTTTTTAACCGAATTAATCCTTAATCAAAATTTTATAAAAAAATAATAATAATAATAACCATTAGCCAAACTGAAACATTTCAATTAAAAAAACATCCACCAAAATTTATTGATTAATCAAATTTTATGAAATTATGTACATGCTCGGTGCTTAACTCAATGGTATCAGTGTGAGAATTATACATACCTAAAGTAAGCATATCTCTGGTACACACCGGTCGGTGATTTACCTCTTGGAGAAGAGATAGATCACAGCTATATATATTGATGTACTCCCAACTAACCTATCATAAAGAGAATTAAATAGCCTTTCCACAATGCATGTGCTGAAACACATGCTGTTTCTGACAAATGCTTCAGTCGGTTAAAAAAACCAGCCCCGCATCCGATCCGGTGCATAAATACCCATCTATGTTTTCCAACGTAACCACGCAAAACATACATTCCTCAACTCTTAGCTAGCTAGCTTTCAGATAGATTAGATTGTAAAGAACTAATCAATATATATAATGTTGGGAAAAAGTAGTGCGATGCTTCTTCTTGTTTGCATTACGGTGGGCGTTGTTACGCATAGTGCAGAAGCACAAATGTCGTGTAACAGCGTGTTTAGCAGCCTCTACCCGTGCCTCAACTTTGTAATGAGAGGCGACGTTGCGCCACCAAGCTGCTGCAGTGGGCTCAAGTCCTTGTACGGCGCCGCTAAATCCACGGCGGATCGCCGGAGCGTGTGCTCCTGCCTCAAGGGCGTTGCTTCCAACGCCAACCCGGCTCAAGTAGCGCGTGCCGCTTCTCTCCCTGCAAAGTGTGGAGTTAGCCTGCCATACAAGATCACCCCTCAACTTGACTGCTCCAACGTCAAGTACTGAACTCAATCCAATTTCCTGGCCGGATCGGAGCAGTAACGTAACAACGTAACCATGAATAATATTATATAATATAATGTGAGAATAAAAGTTAGTTGTCAGCTCTAATATATATGGGCACGGCGGGGAAGTTTCTCTCTAATGGTATGTACTTGCATGGTGTCTTTTTATTGTGTCTTTATTTGATCTTTTTGATGTTCTAGAATTTTAAAGTATTTTGCTTAAGTATGTTGTTAATTGACGAGTTGTTACGTTTCATGATTTTTAAGGTTTTATTATCATAAAGTAATTGGTAATTCCATATAAGTAGTTAACTATTTAATAATATAATTGAGTAAATACCAATTTTGGCCCTCCGAGTATTAGCAAAATGATAATTTTGGTCCACATGTTTAATTTCTACCAATTTTCATCCACGATTATTGTTTTAGTACCAATTTTCATCCATGACTATTGTTTTAGTACCAAAATTGATCACGCCGATCACTTATTCGTTTAAGACATGACGAAATCTAAAATTGTTAAGGGTATTTTCATCTTTTTCAACTTAAGATTCCAATTTAAGCATAAATAATAAGATTTAAGTCCTAAGATCGATCCAAATTCGTAATTCTCCTCCTCATCCTACTTGCACTCCCCGTTGCCGGCCTCTTACTGACAATTTACATGCTAATACGAATTCAAACCCGAACAACATCACAAAAATTAGAGTTGACCTAAGTCCTATATATTAATTCGTAGCAGCAGATGTAAGACTGAATAGATGGGACACTCGATCTCTGTTGTGCCCAAATGATTTGGACATTTGGTAGTTGGGTTTTGTTTTAAGGAAATGCCAAAGGTTGAATTATGAGGAATATTGGTGTGGGTAATGGAATTTATATCGTGGACCAAGGTCTACATAGTATTGTGGATTCTGGATCAAAATGACATCGTTTGAGAAATAATATAAGACATAAATTCGTAAAATAAGACATAAAATGTGTTTGAGAAAATTTCATTTTTGATCATATGACTATTGGAGTGTTGTTAATTGTAGTCCACAAGTTTCAAAACTATCAATTTAATTCCGTAACTATACATTTTTTCAATTTCAATCACTCCAGTCAAATTGTGGGGAAAAAATTGTCGAAAAATTTTAATAGGTAAAATAATGAGGGAAATTTAGTCATTTACTTCATCTCTTCTCTTTCTTGTCCATCGTCATTATTTTACCCATTAAAATTTTTCGGCAACTTTTTGTGGGAGTGACTGAAATTGAGAAAAATTGCATAGTTACGGTATTAGATTGATAATTTTGAAACTCGTAGACTACAATTAATAACATCCAATAGTCATAGGACCAAAAGTGAAATTTTCTCCAATGTGTTTTGTGTTATACAACTACTAATCAATTTCATGTACAGAATTCTTATGCTTAATGTACAAAATTGCATAACACGATGTACAGAAATTCATAACACGATGTACAGAAACGCATAACACGAGATACATACACATGTTTTCTGTTTTACTTATTCCTAGATCTGATTTATGTAAATAATTTATGTCCTATTAGCACATAATTTCATAATACAATACATAAATTCGTAAAATAAGACACACAATATGTTTTGTGTTATACAACTACTAATCAATTTTAGGTATAGAATATTTACGCTTAAGGTACAGAATTTCGTAACATAATGTACAGAAACGCACAACACGATACACAGAAACATGCTTTACAATAAATATTTAAAAAAAAAAAAAAAAAAAAAAAAAAAAAAAAAAAAAAAAAACCAACTCTGTAACGCAAACTGAAAAACAAACGGTCTCCGTTGAGTTAATTACCGATTTGGTCCCACGACTATGAAGATTTCACCAATTTGGTCCTCAACTACCAAAATTCATCAATTTGGTCTCGACTATGCCATTTTTATCCGATTTGGTTCTCAGTATTATTTGTCGGTCAAACTAAAAGGGCAATTTTGAAATTTCAAAAAAGCATCTTCTTCTTCCCTAAATCTAAGTCGTTTGTTTTATGTAGTTGGGCTGTGTGTAACACCCACGATTTCCATGTCAATTTAAAATTAAACATGCAAGATATCTAACCACAATATAAGCATACACAGCGAAAGTCTAACTATATAAACTGGAAAACGAGGAATGTTATGCCACGTCCACGCTAAGGTGAACGCACAGGCAAGAACAACATCCACATAATCAGTCTAACCAGGGACAAGGTTAAAACAACAACAATCTACTGTTTGGCATAAAAGGCTCACAGGCCCAAAACAAAGCTAATAAAGTCCGGGGAACTACACTATCCATCACTAGACCGCGCTCGCCACTACTCGGGACCTGAAAACCACATAAAATAAATGGGACGACGCCCGGTCAGCGAATGATGCTGGTAACCCACCAATACATGTCAATAGCATATATAGATAGGTAGTATATACAAAATCATTTCGAAACGGAATACTGTATATAATAGTTCAAAGCCAAGGATAGAAGTCAACCACAAGACTCTATACCACTCTCAATAAGGATAAGGGACACATCCCAAGACATCAAGAAGTAACAATGACAACACAAGTAAGGCTCAATGTACATTCTACCATCACTCAGTAGAATATCACCCGACATGCTCAACACAAGAGAATAAAGACACATATTGGTAACACATGCCTTCGTGACATCACTCATCACGAAACAGAGAAACACACAACGGCACACATGACTTCGTGACATCACACATCACAAATCATAATCCTTCCTTACGCCCGGTTCCAACCTTATGGCTACCCCCAAACTTATATCTAGTTCCAAACTTTACCTCCAGGGCCCCTGTACACCAAGTCCAACCTTATTCCTCTGAGAACCGTCGTCCCCACTCCAACAATCTCCAACATTACCACCGATTTCATAGTACACGAGGGTACCGATCACACACTTTCGCAACACATGCCTCCCAAGAAATACGTGAACCTTACACACAGGTCACAAACTCCATAATCGCGTCAGGGCCACCACGAGGACCACTGTCGTACCTTGGTGACTAATATCCTATACCATTAATCGTGCAATCTAGGTACAGCCACACACACAACACCATCATAGGAATCAATCAACGGATCACAACGAAGATATGAAATCATACTCAACAAGGAAAGGATCACAATCCAACAACAACGATGATTAACACAAGTCATCATCCACAATAGGAAAGGACAAACCACACACGCTAGCATTTAAACACCGAACTAGCATGCTTATCAAACGGGTAAACTAAACATAGTTCCGAAGAACACACAAGACTCATAATGGTTCAACGAATCACAAGGTTGAACACTTAGCACGATTCAAGACACCAACACCTACATGAAATCCTACCGTATAGTTCTAGACATACGAAACATCAAGAAGACACTCAAATAGTTCCACAAAAGAACGTAACATCGGGAAGTCAAAACATCAAATACCGAGTCAAAAGAATCACGGGAAACAAATCCCTGCACAAGCCAACATTGTACCCCGCGGGTGGGGCCACGGGTGGACCCCCACCCGCGGTTCCGCCCGCGGGAACCATCCCACACACCAACGTACCCCGCGGGTGGACCCCTACCCGCCGTTCCGCCCGCGGGTACTGAACCATGTACAAAAGAATCCCTTCGGGGATTTTCAACACCAAGCTCAAATTAAAGTCCAAAACATCCAAAATCTCACCAAATACAACAAAATAACTTGAATCAAAGGAATAGCCAAGCAATGGCATACAAGAACCCTAATAACAAGCTATAGATATGAATTTTCACAAGACAATGCATCAACACTCACATTTCATAGCAAAATCATATGTAGAAGTCAAGAAATCATCATATAGGTAGTGAAAATTGATTTTGTAGAGCATGGGTTACCTCTTGTAGACTCAACCTTCACTTATAACACTTCTCAAAGCCCCTAACAAGGTTCACCTTCAACACCCACTTCAAGAACACACCAAAAGATCATAAAGATTTCATCTTTAGGAAAAGATACCTTAGAAAACACCAAAAACACAAAAGGAACATAGATCTTACCCTCCTAGATGCTCAAGAGTAGGAAAGGTGGAATCTTGGAGACAAACTTTGAAGATCTTGGAAAGCTTAAACTTAGCTTGGAGAGAAAGCTAGCTAAATCTTAGAGAGAAGGAAGAGTTTTATGTTTTGAGTGTGTAAGGAGAATAATGAGAAATGACCTTAGGTTAGCTTGGATACCAACATGAGGTGTAAAGTCATCTTTACCCTTACTAAGATGAAAAGGTGTAAGGGAACAAGGGAACTATTCACAAAGCTTTAGGTACAACACATTGACTTGGGTTGACTAGTCAATTACTAGTCCCCGACTATTGAATTTTCAGGAATTTAAAGAATTAATTTATCAATTGAATTAGAGGATTAATTACTTAATTAATCTCTAAATAGAATCTGGATTTACGGGGTGTCACACTGTGCCTCATTTGGAGATCAAGAAATTTGGCTTTCACTAGGGTGCAAATTAAAATTGCATACGGTTGTTGGTGTTGAATAGGGCAATTTATATCGTGCACCAGGCGCACATTGCACTATGCGTTCTGGTGCAAAATGACGTCGTTTTGTACTTTTTTTTTTTTTTTTTTAAAAATCGCTTTTCCGTGTTTGCTGTTAACTTGTTAAAAAAATTCATGTTTTGAAAATGTACATAATTGTATACTAAAATGGACTTAATTGTATACTAAAATGTACATAATTGTATATGAGAATGTACATAAACTTTTAACTGTTAAAAAAATCGTGTGTTCGAATGTACATAATTGTATAAAATAATGTACATAATATGTGACACCCCGTAAATTCAAATCCTATTTAGGGATTAATTGAGTAATTAATCCTAATCTAATTGGTAATTTATTCTTTAAATTCCTGAAAATTCAATAGTCGGGGACTAGTAATTGACTAGTCAACCCAAGTCAAGGTGTTGTACCTAAAGCTTTGAGAATA